AAATTCAAAACATAAAACTAAATCAAAACCACCAGATACAAAATTAACTTCCCTCTGATAAAAGTTCCACCTCAGGAACTTTTATCAGATTTGCTAAAGAGAGGATCCAAAACTCTGAAAAGATGTGCAAAGAGAAATGGCCAAAGTTCCCTCTTTCTGCATGCTCTGTAACGAAGTAAAATGCTATAAAACAAATATTGAGCTGGACTATCAGGGTTGTCGTTTTTCAACTTTAATATATTTTTTTTTCTCTTCAAAAGCCACATGTTGCTCAACGTGCAACGGATACAGCCTGCAGTCTTGACGGATAAACCTGTAGCTAAAAGGAGACTTCCTGTGGGTGGCTCATGGTTCTGCTGCTGGGATAAATTTGCATTTAAATAGGAAAACACAAAGGAAACTCTCAGGTTGTTCTGCCACCGCTAATCCCTGCTTTGTCGCCATGAGGCCCCCCTTAAAGGCTGCAGGCCGACCGTCACCTTCTCAGCGTTGTAGACGAGGGAGTAGTTGGAGTTGACGAAGAGGATGTTCTCAGGCTTCAGGTCGGTGTGAGTCAGCTTGTTGTCATGGAGAACTGCGGAAGAGAGCGAGCCAGGACAGAGGATCATTGGATATGTCAGGAGCCAGCGCCCCCCGGTGGTGGCTTCTTCAGCTATGGCAAACTGTCAGATTAATTGAAGAAAATAAATGCTATTTATAATAATAGTAATAATATACATTCATCTTGGTTAAACTGGCCTTACAGTGGGGATAAAACACTTGATATGGAGTTTGAGGAGTTACAAATATTGTACCGATCATTTACATGATCAAAAACAATACATTGTTTTTATTCTTATTTTTTGTTTATTTATAAAAAGTAAAAAGTCATTTAAAGCTAGCTTATTCTGCCAGTTAGTCCTCCAGTCTTTCTGATATTATAGTCAGAAATCATATGTTGGAATTAAATATCATCCTGTCATTTTATCTGTACTTAATTCAGAACAGGAGGTTGTTGTTAAACATCTGTGTCCCCAAAGTAACAAATAATAATAATAATAATAATAATAATAATTACTATTAAACAAAAGCATCTCCAGAGGTCTTTGTTTAATTTATCCCTGAACAAAAAGACTAACAACTTACTCAGGAGTGAATCATATAAATTTACTGTAATACATTCAGCCTTCCTGTTATTTCCTGAGGTTTATGCTCTTGCTCCATGTCTTAATATGTTAATGCTTATCTGTGCTTCCTCTCATTTCTTTTTTAAGTACCTCTCTGAAACTGAAAACATTTTCCTTTAGATCTTTTTCACTCACCAACAACTTCATTGAAGAACAGCATTGGTGTCAGTGCGACTTATTTTCATTTAGTATGATCCGTTTGCTAAATAGGGAAAAATATATATTTTTCAGATGCATCTGTAGTATCTAATTTCAATTTAAATCAGTTTAAATCCATTGTTTGTAAGCTTTATAACATTTGTAAAACAAAAGGGTGATCTACACATCATGATGCTGCTAAATGAATCTACTTAATTTGTCATTTTAAAATCTTTTATTAAAGATTAAACAGTTTTACTATATTTTAGGGTGATGGCATGCTATGTTCTGATTGATTAACTAATTTATTTATGTAAATAATTTTTGGGAAGTTGTTTTTACAGCTTTCTATGTCAGGTAAGACACTGACTGCTTATAACTACTCTACAAAACCCCACAATAGAGAGAAAAAAAACCCCTTAGAATCTCCTTCTGGAGGCTTAGCTTAATTAGAGATTTATATATATTTATATATGTATAGTTATGGACTTGGAACAACGACAAAAACTAAATGTTTCCACACTTAGAAATTAAGAGTTTTTCCCAGGCCTGCAGATTTAAACCAGAAACGTTCGCATGTATCACTCAATCAAACATCTTTTTTTTTTTTTTTTGCAGCCCCACTGTGAAACATCTCCCTACTTTCTTATTGATGAATGAAACGGGTGACGAGGGGAGAGCGTGGCTGCGGGGGTTTGTGTTGCACTCACAGCTGACAGCGTGGCAGATCTGGCTCGCCATGTGTCGGATCTGGTTAATGGGATACGGCAGGAAGTTGTTTGACTTCAAAAAGTCGAAGGTGCTGAGAGACAGCAGCTCAAACGAGATGCACACGTGGCCGCAGAAGTTAAACCAGTCGAGCATCTGAACGCAGTTACTGGAAGGGACACAAACAAACATGAAATGCATTAAATTGTAACATTAATAACTTGCTGAAGTGTTTAACTCACTGCTTGTTCTCGGGATCTTTGGCCCGGATTTTCTCCAGAACGTTTATCTCCAGCTTGGCTGCTTCTCTGTATTTCTCCAAGTTCTTGATGATCTTCAGAGCTACCGGTCTTCCTCCTCTGTGTGATTCAACGCATTATTTCATAGCTAATCCCCGTAAACTCACACACTGATTCCATTTTGCATTAAATCGGAGCAGGAGGAGCTACCTGCTGTGATCCAGACACTGCACCACTTTCCCGAAGGTTCCCTCTCCCAGCGTGTCGAGCAACTCATCTGGAAAACAAGAGGTCGGATTAGTCTGTGTTGTTGGATCCCGCTCTGCCAGATGTTCTGGTACCTACATCTGTCCTCCAGGATGTCCCCCCTGTCGTAGATCAGGCGGCCATTTTTAGAGTCCCGCTCATTTTCAGTTTCAATGTTGATGCTTCTCTGCTGTGGACAAAGTCAAGAAACCATCCTGCTTTCACTAAAAACAGACCGATCCAACTTCAGGAGTTAAAGTTGAAGGTCTCCATTTAACATCCGGCAAATTCAAAGCCACCAGCATGGCGATCAGTTTATAGCGTTATAGGGTTTTTCTTTTGTTTGTACTAAAATCTTCATTTAGATCAGGAGTGTCAAACACATTTTCGTTTTGGGCCAAATTAAGATCATGAATGCTCTTAAAGGCCCAGATGTACAGAAATGTATTGATAAAACGTGTTCACAAGCTGGTAAAATATCAATGAATTCTTAAAATTAAATAATATTACTGAACATCTTTTCAGACCCTCCAGGATTTCATGATTGTTTTGTGATTTTGTGTGTTTTTGGTACTAATTTGGAAATATTTGCGCTTATATATGTCAGTAAATGCAACTTTTATTACTCGCTGTAATAAAAGCGAGTAATAGATCATGGACTACAGTCCCACATCAGTTTAGGCTGAGGCAGCTGTTTAGCACAAGCAAGAAAGTTTTTGACATTTTTTGAGAAAAATCTGCAATAAATATTAATGCAAAAAAAGTGCGGGAATTTGTTAATTTTCAGTGAATCGCCACAATAATTTGCAAGAAACTGGAGGAACTGATTGATATAATTTGGATTAAACAGATAAAAACATGAATTGATTTGACTGATAAAATAATATTTAAGCACACTTAGGGTTTAGATTATAATTTAGAGGGCCGCATAAAAAGCTGTGGTGGGCCGGATTTAGCCCGCGGGCCTCGAGTTTGACACGTGTGATTTAGATGATTGCAGCATTTTGTGTAAATACAATAAATACATAGTTACTTATGAAACAATTTCATCTCTGAAATATTGGTGAGAGCAAATCATTCCTTGGTCTTCATGTTCATTTAAGTAAAATTAAATTGTTGTTTATCTTGTTTTTGAGATTTAACTCACGTATGTGAAAATCTAAAGCCGCTGAGCAATAACATCCAAATGATTTGTTGACATAAAGTGGATCACAGAAGTGATCCCAAACAAACTGTTCATATTTTGTGATGTGACAAATCACCTTATGATAAATTTTTGTTAAACTTTCTTCTTATCAAATTTTGGCAGATTTTTTTTTTTTTTTTTTTAAGTAGTTTGGGACTGGCGAGTTACCAATTTACAAATGCATTTCTCCTACAAATGTGGCAATGAGCTAAACACAAATGCCCCGACTTTGTGTCTTATGTTCACAAAAATCTCACAAAGAGCCCCATACCTCTCAAAACCCAAACTGTCAATTGTTGCGCCATTGATCCCAGAAATGTTAGCACCGTCTAAAAGAGGCTAATAAGAGACTTCTGGTCTCTTTGGATGAGGCCAGCGTCTATTTTGATCCCCATTCTGAGGCTGGTATTAATATCAGAAGCTGAGCATGTAAGCAAAAGAGATACTCAGCACTGGAAACGCGCCAAAAAAACACGCACACAAAAGTCACACTGACCCACATAAACACAAGTGTGTTTGAAAAGCTGGGGAGTTTGTGGATAAACGAACTAAATTGTCTGTTGTTGTTGGTTTGAAGTAAAACTAAAATCATACAAATGAAGAAGAGAGAGACCGACAGATGGAAAAAAAAAAATAATAATAAAAGCGAAATAAATCCATGGTACTCACTGACAGGCGGAGACAGATGCAGTCCAGAAAGCCCTTCAAGAGAGAAAACAGCTCCTTGTTTCCCATCACAAATCAGATACTAGCAAGGTCGAGTTCAAGAGGAAGAGAAGAAGATAGAGGGATGAAGAGCAGACGCAGATAAGCTTTAGGAGCTACGTAGAGAAAAATAACTGAAGATAGCACCATGAATATGAAATAAGTGGCTTCTTAAAAAAAAGACAAAAACAAAAACCAAAAAAAAAACAAGCAGAGGATCTAGAGCTGTGAGAAAGTAGTAAATAGCCTCCAGTGCTGTCAGCAGAAACCTGAAGTGAAGAAAAGACACAAACTTGACAGAAAAGCCAACAAGGAAAGACAGAAACTCAGGAAGAAGTAAGAAAAAACGTAAAAAGAAAACACGAAAAACAGGAGAAAGCAAAAGTACAGACAAAGACGGAAAGTGACGGGCAGAAATGAGACGACAGAAACGGCGAAGGGGTGAGGAGACAGATGCTAATAATAAACTGGTCACAGCCCCCCTGGCCCCCCCACCGGTCCGCAGAGGAGAATTAAGATGTGTGAAGAGGCGGAGGAAGATCAAGTGTCGCTCGGCTCATCTGCCCCACAAACCCTGCGGCATGTAGAACAATCAGCACAAATTCAACACAAACGCGTTTTATTGTTGAAAGGAACACACATGTAAAGAGCTGGAACAATAAAATCAAATATAGGATTCATATTAAATCTCATGTCGTTCGTTAAACCTGCGAGAGCCACCAGAAACACGGAAAACCGAAAGAACTTTAAAACCACAAAACTCATTCTGGTAATACATAATAAAGGGATACATTGGAAATCATGCAACTTTTAAAACTGTGCAGTGGTGGCAGACAGAATTACTGGGTGAAATTGTGAACTCAGAAATCCTCCGAGTCTCAGCTGGGAGCAGATTATGAAGGCTGGTCCAGTTCTTCATATCTGGGTCCGGGGAGGATCGCGATGTCTCCATACGGCTCTTCCTGCTCGGCAGAAATCCTCTTGGACGACAAATTCTCTGTAAACAAAACGATAACGTGTCAGGTTTAGGTTTCCGGTGTCGTCTAAGTTAGTATTCTTTTAGGTAATATAATTTTCACCCTGTGAGGATATGAAAAAAAAAAAAAAAAAAAAAAACCTGCATTTTTGTTTACAAATCTCTTATTTTTAAAAGAATCGTCAAAGCTTTTCTTGTATTAAATGTCAGTTTTCAATCCTGGAAAAGAAAATAGTTACAAGTCGACGACAAATGAGACAAATTTCTTCATGTGACCTGAACTGCATTTGGTTTGCACTGCAAAACCACAAAACCTTACCAAGCATTTCTGGTGGACAAACCTCAGCACACTTGAAATTAACTTACGAGCAACCTTTCAGCAAGAAATATGAGCTTATTTTAAGTCCGTAATTCCTTATTATTGATGGAAAAATACTAGTTTCATTAACAGATTATTTCACCGAGAACAAGACGTTGTGCTGAGACATCTGCACTAGAAACTAGACCAAAACCTTGGAAACATTTTGTGTTTTTGGAGTGTAGAGGAATCAGAATCGTGTTCAACTTTTTGCACTTTAACCACAAATAACCGGTGTTACTGGGTTCAGACATGCAGAGTCACCAGAGGCCACATATCGATCAGAGAAGCTGTAAGGTGGGAGATGTGTGTGGAAATGGCGACTCGTTACCCAGCAGCCTCTGAAAAACGCAGCTGACTGTTCTGCGGTCGGCTCCAGACGGTAAAACCGAGTGAAAAAGCACCGGCTCGCTTTCAGAGTCCGCCAACTCCGGCAGCAGCCTGGGAACGCGGAGACACAAAAGTAAAATGTAAATAAAGGCCCGGTTAAGTTGAGTTTAATAGTCCAGAGAAGCACACCGAGGGGATTCCACTGCCAACTCCTCGATCCTCTCGTCCACCGCCTCTGGGATGTCCTGCAGCGCCGTGGAGACGGTGGAGCTGGAGACAGGAAGGAGGACGCGTCTTAATGCGAGACACCCACCAACAGAGACACACAGGTTTCCTCGTCACCCACCCTTCTCTCTCAGACGTGTACAGAGGAGAAATGTCTCGAGACGCCTCCCGCTGGTCCAACCCGTCCAGAGATGGAGCTGATTGAGCTGCACTCACACGCACACACACACACACACACACACACGCACACACACACACACACACACCACACACACACACACCACAAGATCTTCAGTCTTCATGCGCTGACGAGCTCAAGCCTGGAAAGTGTCAGTCATGACCTTTGACCTGTATTCAACTCGCACAGAGCTATGAAAAATATTTTCCCACATACAGATTCTTTGACCACACTCAAATGTTTTAAATAATCATAAACATATATAATTCTGACTAAGAAAACTAGAATAAGTGTTAAAAAAAGTTTACAAAGTTAAATGTGTGAACAGTGTTTATCAAAGTGAGGGCCGCGGCCCTTTGGGGGACGAGCGGGAGGCGATAAGGGGACGTCAGGCAGTTGAAGGAAAAAAAATGCAAACATTAAAAATCTAATAATGTTTTAATGATGAATTTTTAATTATACATTTTTTAGAATAAAATCTCATCTGTTTTCAGTCACCATAAAAATAAGTTAAAATAACTTATTGAAATGCCATTTCATTAACTATTTATTACAGAATAGTGAAGAAAAGTGATTAAAAAAACATAAATATTACCTGAAATTCTCATCATCTCAGATTCCTCCATTCCTCTCTGGACCTACATTCACACAGAAGCGCACAAACACACACACACACACACACACACACACACACACTTAAAATCCCTCAAATATTCACGCCAGTTCGTTAGTAGAAGCAGAAACGTCTGGCCTCACCTCTGTGGAAACCTCATTGGCTCTCTGCTCCTCGGCTGCCGCCTCCTGCATCGCCTCCCTCTCTCGCTCGCGCTCCGAGTCGGTGGACTCGGGCCCCCGGTCCCCGACCTGCAGGTCGGGCCCCGACAGCGGCGTTATGACCGCCGCCCGCCTCCACAGAGACAGAATCTCCTCAGGCAAAACTGTAGGCATAAAGGCGTGTGGGTCAGAGCAGCAACGCGGGGAAAAGCTTCGCTCGGTACTTTCATCAAAGCTTTAATTCACAGTATGTCGGCGCTGCACACAGAGACTCATTTAGTCAGCAAGTGTTGGATATTATCAAGCGGAAAATAGCTTCACTGACAGCTGCAGGGGTTGCTGAGCAGCTCGGCGGCAGGAATGACCCTGTGAGAGGGAGGCGGGGCGACGGCCGGCGCTCTGGTCTCAGTCAGAGGCTCCTCAATCTGCTGCTGCTGCTCCGACTCCGAGAGCTGCGTCTCCGGATCGAAGAACACCAGCTGCCTCCTCCTCCTCCTCTTCACCTCAGGTTGGACCTCCTGGCGGGGTGAGCGCAATGGGACACAACATTTTAAAAAAACCAGGTGATTGATGATGGGAAGATGGCGGCAGGAGGGGATTTATAGTGCAGAAGCAACGTTAAAGCATGTTGAAACTGTGAGATAATGTCATGAGATGTTTTTGTGTTCCCTGCTCAGCCATAAGACAAGAGCACAATGTTTTAATGAGACAACAAGAAAAATTTAACTAATGAAAACAATTTGTGTCATTTTTCATCATGGCTTAGTAATTATCATGGGTGTTAATTGGACAAGGCGTAAAGACTCTGAAATAAGCAGATCTGTAGGAGGGGCGATTGTTGGTACTGTCACTTTAAATTTAGCTCCTCTGGGACACAACCAGCCGCTAAAACTGACTGACTTGAAGGTGACCCATTATGCTTCCTTCAACAGGTTACAATAGATCTATACAAAACATGTTCATTACATATTTTGCACAAAATATTTCTTAGATAATGAGATTTTAGTCTGATCAGTTCTGCTTATTTTGAGTTCCTTTCAGAATGAGATGGTTTAGGGCGTCTTGTCACTTTAAATCCAAGTAAACTGCTGCTGGCCACGCCCCCAACTCAACGTTTACACTCACAGCTGCAAACAGATGAGCAATTATACAGCTGTACATCTTTGAAAAGCAGAAAGCAGAAGTGGAGCCTCCTGCACAACTAGCAAGAATGCAGCAAGTGGTTTCTGGATGGTAAGTCAACAACAAACCACTTGTCTTTTCCAGCAGCCATTGTACAGCACACACAGAGGTAAAAACCGGCTGATCAGACGTTCTGGAGCTCAGCTTGGGTTTCTAGGTGACGTTCAGTGATTGCAGATTTGTGACATTACATTCAGAGCACAAAAAACTTATTCCCCCCCGAAAAATTCTGTGTTTTATTTTTAAGAACTTGGGCTGTTTTTAGAAACGGCTGAAACCAAAATGGAAGCATGACTTTTGCATAGTGGATAATCTGCATTAAAACATATAAATATATATTTAATCATGCAATTATGATCGAGTAAAAACTACAGTTTTTTAGAAGAACAACAAAAAGAGAGAACGCGCCTCTAACTCGGGGCTCCTACGTCGTCGCCGCGCTGCAGACGGCGGTGAGGGGACGCCGGCCGCCGGCACCCGGGCGACCGGGTCGCTGGGCGTTAAGGGGGTTTCCCCAGAGGGGCCCGACTCCTCCAGAGGCAGCAGCTCAGGGCCCTCGCTGGAGACGGTGGGCGGCTGCAGGCTGAAGGATAAAACAGTCGGTCGGATTTTGTTTCTTCTCATTTGTGTTTGTACGCGAGGAGGGAGGCGTTACTCTGCGATGGATGGAGTCATTTCCTTCATCTTCTCGCTCTCCTCTTCCTCTCTCATCTCTTCTTGAATTGGCTCCAAACCTCCTGTTGACAACGCAGCAGCAGCAGCTCCTCCATTAATTAAGCAGCAGGTAACTTACACTACAGCTGAGAAACAAAATCTTCCTCAAACCTTCTTGAAAGTGACCCAGCTGGTCCAGGAGTAAATCGACAGTTTCTGGAAGATCATCAGTGAAGTCTTCCTCATCAAACTAGATGAGAGAAAAAAAAATGGCCGTGAGGAAAAAATAGACTGAAAGCTTTTTTATAGTTTTTCAGCCAGCAGGCGAACCTCTGCGGCGGGGGCAGCGGCAGCAAGTATCGGCTCACTCAGAGTGATGGATTCTGGGGAAGCGGAGATGCCTGAGGGGAAAAAAAAACAAAAAAAACACAACTCATCGTTTGGCTGTCACACAATCCGGTGAAGACAGGAGGGAAAAATGAGGCAATGGAAGGTGAGGAACGTTTCTTTCCTGACACTAGAACCAAACCATGACACTCCCACCACCACGCAATGTAGCTGCAGCACATAAAGGACAGTCTTGCCATTTTCCGGATGTGGAGAAGCAGAAGTAGCTGATCTGCTCCGTTCATGAAGCTCGGGAGACGATTCTCGCAGAGCTTCCCAATTCATCTGACACAGAAGGCAGGAAAAAAAAACCTCAGTTATCCCGAGCGATGTGCATCGGGCTCGACGCTCGTTTCCTGTCGGTCGGCACCTGCATCAGCTGCGTCGTGTTGGGCATCGTGTCCTGGAGGAGCATCGCTCCAAATAAAGGATCCGGAGCGCCTTCGGTCTCCTCCATGAGAAACAGGGCATCAGGCAGGACTGCAGCTGACCTTGAATGAATAAAACAGGACTTAAAGCAGAAGAAGAAGAGGAAGAAGACAAAGACGAAGAAGAAGAAGAAGAAAAAGAAAAAATGTGTGTTTACTTTACTATATTAAAGCAAATGTTCATACTTGCTTGGGCCGGAAAGATCCGTTTTTCCTGAGCTTCTTTGTTTCAACAGTTGGCCCAGAATGGATTGGACTTCCTCTGGAAGGAAAAAAGTTTGTCTTGAACTCCATCACTGCTTTTTCCCCCAAAAAACCTTTCAGCGTTTTGTAGTTTTTCTCACCCAGAAAGATGGTGCACTGCCGGTGGTAGACCAGGATGATGCCGTACTGCAGCTGTGAGGAGAGGTAGAGGGAGAAGCGGGGTCGCGGCAGGCCGGGTTGAGGCGGGGCGACCCGCTCCAGCAGGTAGTTCATGATGTCATCGCTGCCAAGGCAACAGCTTCGTTAACGTCATCAGTCCTCCGGTTGGTTTGTTTGAGAAACCCAGATGACTTTGTGTCGCCTTAATTATAAACGTGACTGAAAATCGATTGTGGGATTCCTCAAGGCTCCGTTCTCCAAACGCTGCTTTTTTTAAATGCAACTTTAGATTTACTTGTCGCCACATGACAACAGAGTGCAGTCGTGGAGTGCGTCTTTAATTATGTTTTTGCAATGTGGGTAAAAAGCACAGTTAAATGCTTATTTCCACTTGGTTGGAAACTTGCTATCTGTGCAGGGCTCCGTAAAATCCAAATCAGGAAGTTACAGCTCATTCAAAGTGATGCTGTCAGAGTCCTGACCAAAAACACATCAATCTCCTAAACCAGTGGTTCCCAAACTTTTTCTT